CCCTTTAGCCCTGAGAACTCTATCTATCTCCTTCTTGAAAACATTGAATGTTTTGGCCGAAATCACAATCTGTGGTACAGAATTTCATAAGCTCACCATACTTTGGCTGAAGAAATTTCTCCTTATCTCATTTCTAAATAGCTGACCCTGCATGTTTATACTGTGACTCCTGGTTCTAGCCTCCCCCGTCATCAGGAACACCCTTCTTGTGTTTACCTATCTAGTCTTATTAGAATTTTATAAATTTCTATGAGATTCCCCCTCATTCTTCTAATCTCCAATGAATATAGTCCTAATCAACTCAGTCTCTGTTCATACATCAGACCTGCCATCCCAGGGATCAGTTTGGTAAACCTTTGTTGCATTCCTTCCATAGCCAGAATATCCTTCATCAGATAAAGAGACCAAAATTGCACACAGTATTCCAGCTGTAGTCTCACCATGGCATGTACAATTGTAGCAAGATATTCCTGGTCTTGTACATGAATTCTCTCACCAAGAAGCTCATCATACCATTTGCCTTCTTCATGGCCTACTGCACTTGCATGCTTACTTTCAGTGATTAGTGTTCAAGGACACCCAGGTCTCATTGCACCTCCCCATTCCCAACCTATTGCCATTCAGATAATAATCCACTTTTCTGCTATAGCTACCAATGTGAATAAGCTCACATCCTTTTCATAGTTCACCACCCACCCACCTTTGTGTTGTCTACAATTTGGAGATATTACATTTAGTTCCCTGATCTAAATCATTAATATATATTGTGAATAACTAGAGCCCAAGTACTGGTCTCTGAGATTACCCGAGTAGACTGGCTCTCACGCAACAAATGACCCGTTTATTCCTACACTTTGTTTCCTGTCTGCCAACCCGTTCTCTATCCATGTTGGTACACTACCTCAATCTGATGCGCATTAATTTTATTTTCTAATCTCTTATGAGGGGCCTTACTGAATGCCTTCTGGAAGTGCAAGTAAACCACATCCACTGGGTTCCCCTTATCAACTCTTCAAGTGACATTCTTGAAAAATTCCAATAGGTTTGTCAAGCATAATTTCTATTTTATAAATCCATGCTGACTCTGTCCAATCCTGTCACTGTTTTCCAAGTACTCTGCTAGTAATTCTTTCATGGTGGACTGTACCACTTTTCCTACTACCGATCTCAGGCTCCACTCCCTTTGAGGGGAAGTGATGGCCTAGTAGTATTATCATTAGACTATAAATCCAGAGACCCCCTGGGTTCAAATCCTGCCATGGCAGATGGTGAAATTTGAATTCAATAAGTATCTGGAATTAGGAGTCTAATGATAACTATGAAACCATTGTTGGAATAACCCATCTGGTTTACTAACGTCCTTTAGGAAAGGAAACTACTGTCCTTATATGATCAGGCCTACATATGACTCCAGACCCACAGCAATATGGTTGACGGTTAACTCTGGGCAATTAGGGATGGGGAATAAATGCTGGCCTAGCCAGTGATACTAACATCCTGTGAATGAATTTTAAAAAGCTAACCATATATATAATTCCCATTTTCTCTCTATCCTTTTCTTTAAAATACAAACAGAAATTGTTTGAAAATCACAGGACATCTGGTGGCATCTGTGGAGGGAAAGCAGAACTACTGTTCTTCGGAACTGACTGTAGCTAGAAAAAGATTGGTATATATGCTAAAGAAGGGGTGGTGGGAGAGAGGAGTAAATGATAGGTGGAGATGGAGCCCAGAGACAGAGCGAGGAAAACACAGTTGAGTAGAGAAAGGAATGGGTGAAGGTCAGTCTGTGAGAATGAACAGCTGCTAATGGGGACCATTAGTGGCTGACAATGGGTTGTATGTGGTAGCAGATCACGTGATGTATAAGTCTGGTGTGTGGGGATTGGGATAAGGACATGGGAGAACATGCTCAGGCCTTAAAATTATTGAACTCAATATTGAGTACAGAAGGCTGCAGGGTTCCCAAATGGAAAATGAGATGGTGTTTTTCCAGCTTGCACTGAGCTTCGTTGGAGCACTGCAGCAAGCCCAAGACAGAGATTTTAGCCAGGGAAAACAATGGTGTATTGAAATGGCAGGCAACCAGAGCTCAGGGTCATGTTTGCAGACAGAACATAGGTGTTCTGCAAAGACGTTATCCAGTCTGCGCTTCGTCTCCCCAATGTAGAGGAGACGACATTGTGAGCAGTGAAAGACTCTTGGGAAAGTCTATGATGAAAGGGTATAATCTCAGAGTAAGGGATTGTCCATTTAATATACAGCTGAGTGGGCATTTCTTCCCTCAGAGGGTAGTAAATTTGTAGAATTCATTACCACGAGAGCTATCGAGGGCTGCACTTTTAAGTATATTCAAGGCTGAGAATCATAGATGTTTAATTAGTAAAGGAATCAAGTAGACAAGGCAGAATAAATGGAGTTGAGGATTATCAGATCAGCCATCATCTCATTGAAGGTTGATCTCATTGAGTGGTGAGCAGACTCCGTGGCAAATGGCCTGCTACTCTTACATTTTATGATCTTAAGGATTAACTCAGGCACACTTCAGCTATTTTCACTTCTTGCGTAAATGTCAGGATCTTTAGCAAAGTTACTTTTTTTCATCCAACCCTAATTTCCCTTGAGAAGGTGATAGTGAGCCACCTTCTTCAATTGCTGCAATAGGAATGTCCACAGTGATAGTAGGGATGGTATGCCAGGACTTTTGATACAGAGTATCAAAAGGAATAACAAGTCAGGATTGTCTATGGCTTTGTTGGGGAACATGCAGATAGTAGTGTGGTTTCCATTCATTTGCTGCCTTTTCTTCTAGGTGGTAGGTTTGGAAGATGCTGTCAAAGGAATCTTGGTGAGTTGATGCAGGGCAACTTGTATGTAGTGTGCACTACTGCCACTTTCAGTCAGTGGTAGAGGAAGTGAGGTTAGGTTGGTGCATTGGGTGCTGATTAAACACGCTTCTTTGAACTGAACAGTGTTCAAATAAAATTAGAACTGCACTCATCTGGGCAAATAAATGTATTCCTTCACACCTGTAACTTATGTCTTGCAGATGGTGGACAGGCTTTGGGAAGTCAGAAGGTGAGTAATTAGCTCAGAATTCCTAGCCTCTGTCCTCTCTTGTAGTCACAGTATTTATGTGGCTGATTTATTTCCATTTCTGATCAATGAAAATCCCCTGTTGATAATAGAAAATGCTGTAATGCTAATACCATTGACTGTTGGAAATGGCACTTGTGTGATGTAAATGTTGCTTGTCACCTTCAAGCCTAATGTTGTCCAGGTCTTGCTATAAATGGACACAGACTTCAGCTTCTGAGGCATTCCAAATGGCGCTGAGCATTGTGCTATAATCAGCGAATATCTCCAGTTGTGACCTTATGATGGAGGGAAGATCATTGATGAAACAATGAAGATGGTTGTGCCAAGGACACTTCCTTAGAAATCTCCTACAGAAATGATTTTGGGGACCGTGATGGTTGACTTCCATCAGCCAAAACCATCTTCCTTTCTTCAGCAATGACTCCAACCAGTTCGGAGATTCCCTTAGATTCTTATTTACCCCAGTTATGATACATCACATTGAAGCCACACTTGAACAAATGTCTGATGTCAATGGCAATCACACATATTTTCTAATCAACCAGTTCAGGAACAAGTGGGACTTGAACCTGGGTCTCTCGGCTCAAAGGTAGGCATACCACAAGAGTCCAGCAGTATGACAGTGGAGGTTGTGCAGCTATTAGTGCAACAAATCCGAATCCATTGTGTAACCCTAACCCCCAAAGTCGACCAGGAGTCAACAAGGTGCAGGGCTGGATGAACACAGCAGAAAGCCTTTCTGCTCCTATGATGCTGCTTGGCCTGCTGTGTTCATCCAGCCCAGCATCTTGTTGTCTCGGATTCTCCAGCATCTGCAGTTCCTACTATCTCGACCAGGAGTCATTCTCATTGATATCCATCACTTTTATTTCGTCATTTTATTCTTCAAAAAGGGAATAGGTTATTTGAAAGGCAGCAAGCAAAACCAAAGCAGAGAGCGGAATTTGAAATAAATGAAATAAAGTGAATGGTTCATAAACTAAGAGCAGCAACTGAAGTGATCCAGCAAGTGAATCACATAGTAAAGCACTATAGCAAGAAAACTTCAACACGTTGAAACGTACAGAGTTCAGCTAACATTTAGGTTGCTGAACGTCTATCAACAGGTCACTGCAGCCAAGGTCAGCATCATCTTGCACTGGAAGCTGTTGGCCCAAACCCAAACCCAGGAAATCAGACCCTCTCCCCGTAACCAGGCGGCCGGCCCAGCCCAGCCCGGGCTACAGGAGGTGACCGACCCGGGGCAGCAGAACCAACGGAAAAGGGAGAAACAAAAACAGAAATTTCTGTTCTGAGGACGGGTCACCGGTCCCGAAACGTTAACTCTGATTTCTTTCTTCACAGATGCTGCCAGACCTGCTGAGCTTTTCCAGCAACTTCTGTTTTTGTTCCAGAAATGGCAGCACGTGGGGGGAGCAAGCACAGTTAATCTCGAAGGGTCAGTGCAGACTCGATGGGCCTAATGGGCTCCTTCCACACCGTAGGGACTCTGTGAAGCTCAGTGACATTCTCCTCCTCAGTTGGTGTTCACTCCGAAAAAAACAGGATCGACCTGACCTTCACACATTAGATACTTCCAGCACATATAGATCCCACCCCATGAGGGCACGATTTCAACCACCAGGCCCGGCCTCTCCTATAAGGCTTGTCAACCACCGAGCTCCGCCCCCATTCACGTCCATCAACCACCAACCACGCCCCCGGTCTCTGCCATCAACCACCGAACCACGCCCCTGGTCACGTCCATCAACCACCGAACCACGCCCCCGGTCACGTCCATCAACTACCGAGCCCCGCCCCGATCACGTCCATCAACCGCCGGGTCCCGCCCCCGATCGCGCCTATCGGCAGTCCGGCCCCTCCCCTGTAAGGTCCTGTCCCGCCCTCTTGAGGCAAGTCCAATGAGTGTAGAGATTGTTGGAGGGTGGAAACGTTGTACCTTGAGACAGAAGGCGCCATGTTCTGGGTCAGGACACTCAGGACGTCGCTGAGGAACGGATCCCGGTTCCTAAAAGGCCGGAGTCCAGGGAAGCCCTCGGTCAGGAGGTGAGAGCTGTTTCATTAATGAGATAATTAAACAAACTCACGCTGTGACCATTGTTAGTGGGAGGAGGGGTAGAGAGAACGTGGAGAGATGGGCGATTCATGTACAGATGAGCACCTTTTGTGCAGCAGTTTGAAAGTGATGCAGGTTCTCAGAATACTATGATGAAGGATCCTCATCTGTTGAAGTTTACTGTGTATTGTGAAGGATATTGCCGCGGGACGTTTCGTTCAGTTGCACCGTGCTGTCCACCTGTTTTCGTGGAGAAATTCTGCTGACCAAACGTCAGTAGGGGCTGCATAAAACATTTTTGTAATCTTGCAGAAAACAAAAAAAAACTAGATCGTTTTGAATAGTTTTCTAGGGAGACTAGCAAAGTCATGGGGCGGCACGGTGGCACAGTGGTTAGCACTGCTGTCTCAGCGGGCCAGGGACCCGGGCTCGATTCTCAGCCTTGGGCGACTGTCTGTGGAGTTTGCACATTCTCCCCGTGTCTGCGTGGGTTTCCTCCGGGTGCTCCGGTTTCCTCCCACAGTCCAAAGATGTGCAGGTTAGGTGGATTGGCCATGCTAAATTGCCCGTAGTGTTCAGGGAGGTGTAGATTAGGAAGGTTATGGGTGGGATGCTCTGAAGGTTCGGTGTGGACTTGTTGGGCCGAAGGGCCTGTTTCCACACTGTAGGGATTCTATGATTTAGGAGAATACCTTATTGCCAAAAGTTTTAAACAAGCCCCGAGATAGAGCTTGGTTAATGGTGAGAAGGTCAGCTTCTTCATTCACAGTTGGAGTCTCAACAAAATTGGATACATTGTATCAGAGATAGTAGGAACTGCAGATCTTGGAGAATGAGATAACAAGGTGTAGAGCTGGATGAACACAGCAGGCCAAGCAGCATCATAGGAGCAGGAAGGCTGACGTTTCGGGCCTAGACCCTTCATCAGAAATGGGGGAGGGGAAGGGGGTTCTGAAATAAATAGGGAGAGAGGGGGAGGTGGATAGAAGATGGATAGAGGAGAAGATAGGTGGAGAGGAAACAAACAGGTCAAAGAGGCGGGGATGGAGCCAGTAAAGGTGAGTGTAGGTGGGGAGTTAGGGAGGGGATAGGTCAGTCCAGGGAGGACGGACAGATCAAGGGGGCGGGATGAGGTTAGTAGGTAGGAGGTGGGGGTGTGGCTTGAGGTGGGAGGAGGGGATAGGTGGGAGGAAGAACAAGTTAGGGAGGCGGGGACGAGCTGGGCTGGTTTTGGGATGCGGTAGGGGGAGGGGAGATTTTGAAGCTTGTGAAATCCACATTGATACCATTGGGCTGCAGGGTTCCCAAGCGGAATATGAGTTGCTGTTCCTGCAACCTTCAGGTGGCATCATTGTGGCACTGCAGGAGGCCCAGGATGGACATGTTGTCTGAGGAATGGGAGGGGGAGTTGAAATGGTTAGCGACTGGGAGGTGCAGTTGTTTATTGCGAACCGAGCGTAGGTGTTCTGCAAAGCGGTCCCCAAGTCTCCGATTGGTTTCCCCGATGTAGAGGAGGCCACAACGGGTACAGCGGATGCAGTATACCACATTAGCAGATGTGCGGGTGAACATCTGCTTGATGTGGAAAGTCTTCTTGGGGCCTGGGATGGGGGTGAGGGAGGAGGTGTGGGGGCAGGTGTAGCACTTCCTGCGGTTGCAGGGAAAAGTGCCGGGTGTGGTGGGGCTGGAGGGGAGTGTGGAGCGGACAAGGGAGTCACGGAGAGAGTGGTCCCTCCGGAAAGCAGATAAGGGTGGGGAGGGAAAAATGTCTTTGGCAGTGGGGTCAGATTGCAGATGGCGGAAGTGTCGGAGGATGATGCGTTGGTGGTTGGTGGGGTGGTACGTGTAGATGAGGGGGATTCTTTTTTGGTTGTTATTGTGGTGACGGGGTGTGAGGGATGAGTTGCGGGAGACGCAGTGGAGGGCATTCTCAACCACTGAGGGAGGTAAGTTGCGGTCCTTGAACCAAGCGGAGGCTTGGGGACCGCTTTGCAGAACACCTACGCTCGGTTCGCAATAAACAACTGCACCTTCCAGTCGCGAACCATTTCAACTCCCCCTCCCATTCCTCAGACGACATGTCCATCCTGGGCCTCCTGCAGTGCCACAACGATGCCACCCGAAGGTTGCAGGAACAGCAACTCATATTCCGCTTGGGAACCCTGCAGCCCAATGGTATCAATGAGATTTTGAAGCTTGTGAAATCCACCCCTCCCCCTACCGCATCCCAAAACCAGCCCAGCTCGTCCCTGCCTCCCTAACCTGTTCTTCCTCCCACCTATCCCCTCCTCCCTCCTCAAGCCACACCCCCATCTCCTACTGACTAACCTCATCCCGCCCCCTGACCTATCCCCTCCCTAACTCCCCACCTACACTCACCTTTACTGGCTCTATCCCCGCCTCTTTGACCTGTCTGTTCCCTCTCCACCTATCGTCTCCTCTATCCATCTTCTATCCACCTCCCCCTCTCTCCCTATTTATTTCAGAAGCCCCTTCCCCTCCCCCATTTCTGATGAAGGATCTAGGCCCGAAACGTCAGCCTTCCTGCTCCTATGATGCTGCTTGGCCTGCTGTGTTCATCCAGCTCTACACCTTGTTATCTAAAATTGGATACATTATTGGCTTAATGACAGGAATCAGAGTGGTAGTGGAGAGTTGCTTTTTGTACTGGAGGCCTGTCACCAGTAGTGTTCCACAGGGATAGGCCCTGGGTGCTCTTTTGTTTGTCACTTATATAAATGATTTGGATGAGAATATGGAAGGTATGGTTAATAAGTTTGCAGATGACACCAAATTGGTGGCATAGTAGGCAGTGAAGGTTTTCCGAGATTACTTAAGGGATCTTGATGAGATGGATCAATGGGCTGAAAAATGGTAGATGGAGTTCAAACTGGATAAATGTGAGGTATTGCATTTTGGTACAACAAACAAGCGCAGGGCTTATACAATCAATTGTAGGGCTTTGGGTAGTGTTGTAGAACAGAGGGACCTAGGGTTGCAGGTACATAATTCTTTGAAGTATGCATCACAAAAAGACAGTGGTTAAAAAGGCGTTTGGCACACTTAACCTTCATTGCTCAGTCCTTTGAGCCATAGGAGTTGGGAAATTGTGTTGATGTTTTACAGGACACTGGCGAGACCTCTTTTGGAATACTGTGTCCAATTCTGGTCACCCAGTTATAGAAAGGATATTATTAAGCTGAAGAGGGTTCAGAAGATATTTACCAGAATGTTGCCGGGTATGGAACGTTTGAATTATAGAGAAAGACTGGATAGACTAGGAAATTTTTCACTGGAACATAGGTTGAGAGGTGACCTTATAGAAGTTTATAAAATCGTGAGTGTATAGATAGAGTTAATGGTAGGTGTCTTTTGCCTAGGATGGGGTTTTCAAGACTAGGGAACATGTTTTTAAGGTAACAGGAGAGAGATTTTGGGAAAAAAAGGGCTTTTTTTTTTACAGAGGGTGGTTTGTGTGTAGAATAAACTTCCTGAGGAAATGATGGATGTGGGTACTGTTACGATGTTTAAAAGACATTTGAATAAGTAGATGAATTGGAAAGGTTTGGAGGGATATGGGCCAGGAGCAGGCAGGTGGAATAATTCAGTTTGGGATTATGTTTGGCATGGACTAGTTGGACCAAAGGTTCTGTTTCCGTGCTGTATGATTCTATAACACAATGTGCAATCTTCTTGGCAGCTGTAGCAGGGAAGACAATGTCACCAACTTCTTATAAATGTACTTTTGCAAAACGATCTGGAAAGAAATGCAGTCCTTTCTTTTGAGGTTCACCCTGAGCAAGTCTAAACATATATTTAATACAAGGCACTCTGTTTATATGGTCTGTTGCATATTGAAACAAACATCAACTGGAGAATCATCAATTCTAGGCACACTTTAGTCTGCCTGAAACATATTGCTGTTCCAATGCAAAGAGGTGACCATGGCTGAGTGCAGACTTGAACAGCTCCAAGTCTCAGGACTATGAATGAAGAATGACCAAAAGCTTGGGGCACCTGCCGCATGGGTCATTGGGGAAGTTCACTGTGTAAGCTCCTCCTGTCATGGTACACCATTGAGCTGGAACTTTTGGAAATTCCTTCTGGCTATTTATACCAGTGACTTTGAGATGTGGTGTTTATATTATAGGTATAACTAGAATTGGTACTGCAGCGATCTCTCAATATTTTGACCTGTATTGAAGGAAATTGAGGTATATTGCAGTTTTCATAAGTGTGAACTGATATTGTAACATACTTGTACAAGTTTTGAGTAAATTCTGTTTTTTTAGAAAAATTTCTTGCAAAAGAATTGTACATTTTTATACAATGTCAGGATAGCCCTAAGAGCTTCACAGTCAATTGGGCATTTTTGAAGTGTAATCACTGTTGTGCTGTAGGAAATGTAACTCAGCAATGACTGGAAGCCACTGGCCCTTCTAATCTTTGACCATTTTCTTGCCCTAATTTTAGAACTCATAGCTTTGGCCCACTTTATAAATGAATGAGTCCAGGTGCTTTAAAAGAAACACTATGTAGATACGTTTCACTACCTCTGCTGACATTTCATAGATGTCACGCGCTTTCCTTCCATTCCAGTAACATTAAAGTATGCCTACCTTGCTGTCAGATTCTGGGCCAGGCACAACATCTGCGTTTAAAGTTTCTATGCCTGTGAAAATCATAAAGGCTTCTATTGAAAATCCTTCCTCCATCACCCGCTGTCCGTCTCCAGAGACAATGCAACAGAATAGATTGTCTTTCTTTTCCCTTTGTTCAAGAATCAACATTATAGCTGTCCCTTTATATTCTCTCCAATAATTGTACATTTTTCTTTTGATAGGAAGGACAGAATTGAACAGATGTTCCAGATGTAACAGGTTCCAAAAAGATTGTTTGAATGGCCTAAAAATCGAAGCCCAACAATTCTTTCCAACCATTGTCTCAAACATATAAACAATCAATGGTCCTTCTTATTCTTGACAACTCTGTTTAGTTTTGGGATTTTGCATTTGTTGACATTGAGGTTCTCCAATGGTTTAGTGAAGTTTGACGTTTCCTTGGCAATTTTATCAGGGTTTATTAATCTCCCTATTTGTAAATTCATGACAATATTAATGTGTCTGGCCACATTTTCTAATGTATTTTTTATCTTAACCCCTCTTTCCCAGAGCTGGTGGTGGGCCACATATTGAGCCCCAATATCGACAGTATCCACAATTGACCAAGAAGCAAGTACTGGAGGCTGAGTTTCTCAGTGGTTTCATGTGGTTCTGGATTTTCTGGCACCTATGGCATGATCCTGATGCAGTCCTTGTGAGTACTTTATGAATCTCCAGCATTTCTTGTAGCATCTTATGATCTTCATTTTACGGTTTTAAAAAGGAATGAAGATTCATGTTTTGCTTTGCTTTTAACATTCACTGTCAATTTACCATTTGTTTAAGAGAGAGTTCTGTAAAAATAAGTAAATGTACTTTGCCAGTTTTAGAACTTCCATTGTGTTTCCTGGTTATTCTTCTCAGTGCAATATCTCTGTCAATTTTAAGAAAAATCAAAGACATACGAGTTCCTAATTTGTTAAATTGGAAATAATGTGGAAGGAAAGCACCATAAACGCTGAGGTATACATTAGGAGTGACAATACAGCTAAATGATTTTAAATTTCAAAGCAGATGTTTATGCACATTCTGTGCCTTGGAACCTTTTAATATTAGTACAGCAGTTAATAGAACATTTCGGGCCTTGGGATGTATAAATTGAGACATACAGTACAAAAGACAGGAAGTGGTTCCAAACCTATGTAAGACACTAGTTCACCTGCAGTTGCAGTATTAAATTGTCTGCATCCACACACTTTAGGAAGGATGTGAGGAACTTGGAGAGTTCTAGGAATGAAGATGTTAATTACTTGGTTGGATTAGCAAAACTGGGGTTTTCTTGGAGCAGAGAAAGATAAGAGATTTGATATTGTTTAAAATCGTGAAGGTTTAGATTGTCTAAACAAAGAGAAGCTGTTTTTCCTTTGGCATCAATGGTATCAAACAGCATTTGACCCTGAGTCATATAAGAAGAATGACCAAAAGTTTGATCAATGAGATAGATTTTATGGAGCAGGTTTAGGGAGGAAACGCCTTGGTTTAGGCAGCTGAGGATATGGTTGCCAAAAGTGGGGAGGTTAAAGTCAGAAAGAAACAAGAGGCCAGAATGGAGGAGTGGAGAAATCTTTATAGGTTTGTGAGAATGGACGAGCTACAGAAATAGAGAGGGGGCAAAGTCATTGAGGAATTTGTAAACAATTATGAAATTTTTTAGAAGTCACTGTTGGACTAGGAACAAGTATAGGTCAGCATACACAGGAGCAATAGGAAAATTGATACTCCGTGCCAGATAGGAAATGGACAGTGAAGTTCAATAAGCTTCAACAGACTTTCCTAGTTATGATGGTATTTGTATTCTTAGCAGATTATAATGCAGAAATTAACAAACTGATTACCTTTTGGTAGATGTGAAAATTCATTTTGATCCTACCTCTTAACTCCTAATGCTATGATTGAGTCAGAGTTGGGCTCAAGTGGCTCAAAACTACTGTAAGTACAGGAATAAGATGCCTTATTAAGGAAGTAAATGAGTGCTCAAAGAGTTCTGACTGAACACTAGCCCATTTGAACGTTTTGTGGAAATTTTTCCAATCCTGATTGAAATCCTTATTTTTAAACAAGGTTAGACAAAAGTTTGTCCCATTTAACTTCCTGGGATTTTTCTGGCTGGATTTCTGATGGATTTTCCAGATTTGTAGTTAGCCAGGAGTTATGGGGCTTTTGAACTCCATTACCTTTTCATGACTAACTATAAAGGTCAATAAGTCAGAACACTCCAAGGCCTCCAACTGTAACTTAAGAACTGGGGACATTTTTGGAGGATTCCAGATGTTGACCATTGAAAATTTTAAACCTCATATGCTATTAGCAGGTAGTCAGTGTGTTGGAATTTGAGATGTCCCAATGTGCATCTTTCCGCGTACATCCTGGTCTCAACTTTCCAGAGAGCAGAAGATCTTGGCCAATATCCATTTAAACTAACCAAATTAAATGTGTACACAAATAAAAATACACATTTGAATCTGTTATCTAAAGAAAATTTAAATGAATGCACTGCAAAGTTACATTGTAAAGGCTTAACCTTAGTAAAGATTACATTTTTAGTTTCAGTACCTGCAGCAGAGTTTGTTTTTGGTTTCCTTTAATAATCTTTAATTATTTCTCTTGTACAGCAGATTTAAGTATGCTGTGACAAATATTAACCCTTATATTTCTGGATGTATTGTCATTTAAGTTATTTATCTCCTGGCCTATCTATTAACTAACAGTTAATATTTTACACAAGGGGCACTTTCCTTATCCTGATCCTTCTAAATGGACTGATGAGGAGCTGGGCATACCTCCAATTGCTGAGGAATAATCTGAACTAGCTTTGCTGAAATGGTAAGTTTCATGGAACTACAGTCCACACTTCTTCGAGTTGTTTGTGTAGTATCTTTAACACAATAAAATTGCCCAACATACTTCACAGGAATGTTTAGAAGCAAAATTTGATACCAAACCACATTAGATGGTATTAGGGCAGACGACCAAAAGTTTGGAAAGAGATTGTCAGAAGCATCTAGGAGACATCATTCTGATTTGAGAAATTGTGCTAAATTATTGCCTTGCACAGACACTTTCACACAGGACCATGTGAATCCTTGTCATTGGCTAAGCCAACCGTGCTCTTTTGTTGTCAATAGTACTTTTTCCTACTCAGATGTTTCCTTCAACCTGCCTTCCCAAAAATCTGATTTTTCTCTTAATGTAAGAAATATTAGGTTTTTGAGCCCTTACTATTGTTAAGTAACATCATGGTTGATCTTATCACCTGAACACTTTTCCTGCACAATACCCAGATTGCTTAACACATTTATTAGAAATGTAAATACAGCCTTGGAAACTGGCCTTGTGTGTTAATATTCCAAGGAGGTTGAGACATTTCTACTTGTAAGTTACTGCTATTAATTGTGTTGTTTTTTTATTGCCTACCTTGTTTGTGGTAACTGATTTTAGTGCTTCGGTTCAATAGGAGTCAGCAGGTCTTCAGTATCTCCCTCAAGTGATCATTCTTCATGTCTGAGTTAAGATGGTGACTGAAGACTATTTGACTTTGATCAGCCTCACCCCAAAATTTGCATCGAGCAGAGTTGCTGCCAATCTGATTTTTCTTGTTTTGACTTTTAATTTCCTCCTAGGTTCACCATATAGAAAACATGGCACTGAGCTGATAGTCATGCTAAGAATCAAACCCTGAATCTTTCTGGTCTGCATGCACATACTGTGTTTCACTTCACTGTTGAATCATTAGGCAACATTTTTCTTGTAAATACTTGTTCATTTTAAAAATACCTGGATGCTAAACAATAGTGTTGTACCTTTGTTCCACAGTGTTTCCTTTGTGGGCATTTCTGGGAATGTTCATCTGATACTTGGAAAAAACAACTTATTGTAAATTAAATTGAAATAAATATTATTTGGTCAGTTATCTGTTGTGCAATTTCTTCTATCCAAATGTTTGTGCCTTTGTACAGTCAAGCAAATCAATGCACAGTGCCAGAATTCTGATAAATGCTGTGATTGCCTGTATGGGGAAGAAAGAGAGAAAGGGAATGGTGGCTACAGATATTAATCACCATATTTTACACCAGTTCAATTTGTATTAAGTCCACTGCTAAAAGGATTTGTTCAAGTCTCAAACTCATTCCTTGTACAATTCCCTACATGGTTAATAACTTCAGTTGAGTAGACAGTTCAACAAGGAATATATGGAATAAAGGTCTTCTAGTATCAAATCTGAGTGATTGATTTGGCTTTTGTTGTGAATAGATTTCTACAGATCGATTTCTTAAATTTGAAATACTAGGTTATATCTCTTGTCTTTAAGATAAAAACGCTACACTTTCAATCCATCTTTTTAATATTAGTTTGAATGGAACATAAGGAAAATATATTGTACATCTTTTAGTAATATATTATAGCTAAACATAGTTCAGCATTGTCATTTTGGCCAAAAGTCACCTTGCCTGTTACCTACCTGCATATCTTTTTTCATAAGCTATTGGAGAGTCACAAGAACTACATTGGTGTGAGGCAGCAACACAAGTTTGAGAGAAAGCTCAGCCTTCTTGAGCTTTGCTTTCACTGTTCATTTCTAGTTAGCAAAAAGTGAATTATCTCACTTGCCATAAAAAGTCAATTATCTTCCAGCATGCATACTGAAAACTTTTCACCTTAAAACAGCTAACTTCTAAAATTTTAACCTAGGTAATCAGGTCCTTTAGAAGATACCAGCTGAATACTGATATTTAATAGGTGTACACTTGTTCTCCCACAAGTTTGATTCACACTGGACTAAGCATTGTCCAGTAAAAGATTTAAAATGTACTGTTTTTACTTGAATGCACACTTTGAACTCAGGTTAAAAGTGCATCAATTTATTTTGCATGTTAACCAAACTCTTCACCGATCCTTGATAATCACTAATTGTGGGCAGCAAGGAGTTAGGCTTCTTCTCCCAGAGCAGCAATTCAAGTTAGTGAGTGTTAATGTGACAAGTTCCTAAAGTTCACATCAGCTCTGGTTAATAATCATGTTGCTGGTCAATCTCCAAGATACTTCTATGATTTTATAGAAATGAAAAGATACACCTCTGGATTCATACATTATAAAATCTGCATGTTTAAACTGAGCCTGAGTGGGAATTCACCATTTTAGAATTAAGACATATAATCTTCATATTCAGCATGTATCAGATTCATGTCCCTGATACTCATTTTAATGCTGCGTCACTGTTCTGTGCTCCATTGTTTACACTTCTGCAATTGGTATAGTTGGTTCAGGGAGCTGCTGTGATCTTCTAACGAATCCATTTGCATGTTATTAATGAGACTATTGAAAACTGTGCATTCAATCCACAAAGATGTTCTTACCCAATAGGACAGCCAACTTTTCAGTCACATCTGAAACATTTTGCAACTCCTACTGACCATCATCTTCTGTGGTGTAATTGTCATTGTTCAACTGACAGGTCCCACTACCAGACTGTAAGAGTTCTTCATCCTCACTGTCTACATCCTCATCCTCATCCTCTTCCTCCAGATCTTGCATAGGCAGGCATGTCTTGGAACCTTTGCAGATCTTTAAATGTCTAGTTAAGTGATACTTTGTTAAGTATGCCTTTGAGCACTTCTCACAGATGAAATCCCTCCTTCCTTCATGTGAATTGAGATGTTTCTTCAGGTGTGTTGTCCTCCAGAAGAGCTTGTCACAATTTGGACACTTGATTTGCCTCTCTCTGCACAAAAATGTAAATACAATTCTTTTAGAGAAGTGTTAATTAAAATTCAATGCTCACTTTTAGTAGATACCATGTATGGTTAAATAATAGAGTCACAGATCCCCAACCCCTAATCATCTTCAATGGCCTAAAATAGTTTAGCAATATAATTTCAGCTAACTTCTAAAGTTTTTTTCATCATTGCAATTTATGGCACAAACTTACATGAATGAGTAATAATGCTTTAATTGCATTCAAAGCTGCACAGGCCCATTCTTGGCAAGAAACCAGATGACATTGATTTGCTGTTTTTGAGATGATGGTATCAGTTCGGACTCATCATACTTTTGCCTCAGAGTCAGGGATTTGGTTCAAGACCATTCCAGTGATTTGACCACATAAATTTAGGCTGACATCTGTACAGTATTGAAGGAATATTGCTCAGTCACAATTGTTATATTTTGGATAACATGTTAAATAAAGTCTGCATGTTGAGTTCACATGAAAGATCCCATGGCTGTGTAAGGAAGAGCAAGATAATTTCTCCAGAGTCTTAGAGCAACAAGATTCATTGTTGCTTGCTGCTAAATAGACTTCGATTACAATAGAATATACAGCCCAGAAATCAGACACTCCACTCTAAATTCACCAAATGGACTGCGATGGTTCAGGAAGGCAGCCCATCACCCTTCTCAAGGGCAACTTGGAAAGGCCTTGCTAATGACACCTACATCCTATCAAAAAGCAAGAAAAAAAACACCTTTGCAAATCTTTGTACCCTTGAGTGCCATTATATCCTTTTTTTAAAATAATGCAACCATAACAGCAGCGTTCCCAAATACATAGTGTAATCAAGGTTCAATACAGGTTTAGCACAATTTTTTCTTTTCATTTCCATCCTTCTAGAAATAAAGCCTTGTATTTTGTTTGTTTTATTTTACTAAGCTCTTGCTAATCTGCAGTGCAATTTTTAGTTACTAATATATTTGTACTTCCCAAGATCCATTTGTTCCTTTACTTTCCAAATAACGTGACCTTACTATTCTTCCTACCAAACTATACCACCTCACATTAATGTTGAACATCATTTCTCGACTTGACATTCTCATTGAAAGTCCAAATCCTTAATATAAATTGGGGACAGTAGTCAGTCCAGCACTGATCCTTGTGAAGCATCACTTCCCACCTTCTACCACTTAATAAATACCTTTTATTCGCACTCTTGAAGCTATCCAGCAATTCAATCTGGCACGTGTCCCCTTACTCCCCATTCTGTTACTCTATTCATTAGCCTATGATGGGCCATCTTAACCAAGGCCTTTTGAAAATCCAGATAAATGACAGCTTCTACAAGACCACTATTTATTATCTTCTCGAACAGTTCAATAAGGTAGATAAAATAAGATTTTCTCTTCCGAAATCCATTCTGACTGTACTATGTTTCTAATTTTTCAGATGTGCATCTGTTTACTCCTTTAGTAAAGATTCTATATTTCTTTCCATCACTGCTTTAAGCTGACTGCTTATATTATTTCTTGTATTATGTTCCCCTTCTTAAATATAGGGAATACATTAGCAATTCACCAGCCTTTTTCTAGCAAATAATTGAAAATGTAACTAATCATTTGATATTTCTGGAAAAAAAGAGAATGTGAAGTTTTTCATCTATCAGGACAATTCACAAGAAATACCAGAGGGGAAAGCAACATTTATACTGTATGACAGGAGAATGCTGATTGATTGACAAGTGGACTTATTGGTAGGGGCACAGGAAAACCAGTGAAGTGACAACAGTCAGTCCCACACTGCTAATACTATGAGTATAAATTGATAAGGTTCTTGCTATTTATGTCACTTATTAAAAGCCTTTAATTTATATCGTTGTTATTGAGTTTAGTGAATGTAACCGGATTTGCGATCATCTTAAAATGTAGCAATGGATAATTGATCCAGCTGCGGTCAGTTATTGCCGCATCAGAGGAGCAAGAAAGCTGACGTTTCGGGTTGGGACCCTTCTTCATTTTTTCTGAAGAAGGATCTCGACCCAAAACGTCAACTTTCCTGCTCCTCTGATGCTGCCTGGCCCGCTGTGTTCCTCCAGCTCCACACTGTGTTATCTCAGACTCCAGCATCGGCAGTTCTTACTATCTCTGCGGTTAGTTAATAATGTGTGCATGATTACGTCAGGGAGAACACATTAAATAGAAGATGACTAGTTACATTAAACCTTCCATTAATACTAATGTATCACATTTTAATATTTTTAATTTTGTATCATACTCAAATTGTTCAGTTGAAATACTAAATTAGAAATATGGTTCTGCAAGAGGCCCATTTCATATCGATACTACGTGCATAGAGACTGTATTTAACAAGTTATCTGGGCAGTGTTAAGCATTTGCGTTGTAATATGGTCACTTTGCAAATCACAATTTTTTTTCCACATGACCTTTGATACTTTCAAGCACAAATATTGCACTACTGGCCAGCTTTTACAATGCTCCATTTTTACAGCTATGTTGAAAGGGGGTGATACATTTAATGCGGTATGTATCAGTTTGTATTGGATTGACACAATAGATTCTACAAGTAAACTTACCAAATACTCAATACTAATAAGAAGGAGGAGCCAAAACAGCTAGTGGATGACTTACTGCGTATGGGTCAACATGTGCTGCCGAAGATCCTGTCGCCGCATGAACATTTTCTCACAATAATCACATTTCAGGTTCTTCTCTCCTGTGTGGATTATCATGTGAGAGGCCAGGTGAGCCTTCTGAGTGAAAGACTTGTCACACATTTCACAGCGATAGTTTTTTTGACCTGAAAGCACATGTAAGCATATACACATATTTTAAAAAACAGGCCAATTCACTGCTTTGCATCAATATCCTATTACTATTCTTATATCGAAACACCCAGAGTTGTAATGAAGGTAGTTCCAGGATTTTGACCTGTTACAAGCAGCAAGTTTTTTCCTCCCTGTCTGTCCAGATATTTCACAACTTTGAAAACTTCTATCAAATTTCCCCTAAGCCTTCACCTCTCCAAGGAATACCAAATTCTAGTCCCAAATTCTCCAAACTTTCTTCAAAGAAAATGTCACACCCTGGAAACATTCTCATTCACCTCTCTTGTAGTCTTACCGATGCATTCACATCCTATAATATGGCACCCAGAACTCTACACAGTATCTAATCAGTATACTA